CCTAGCAGCTCGAAAGCATGTAAAAATGCAAGTAGAAAAATAGGGACTGCTTTGGTGGGAATGTAACAGAATTCTGTGCGCCTTCGGCATTTAGTAATGCCAACCACATGACCAGGGAGATGTTTTTGGACACCACTGGCTCTTTGGCTTTGTAACGGAGATGAGCATCGCCCCCTAGAGCCGGAAATAACTAAGACGTATGTGCAAGAGGAGCCTTTATCTTTATCTTTTAAACATCATAAAAACAGTCAAAGTAACATAGGACAAACATAGTCCTCAAAGTAACTCATTATGCAAGAATTTCCAGAAGACCAGGATGGACTATTTATCTCATTAAACATATAATCTGCCTTTCTTCAGAAGTCCTAGGCAATTTACATCCCTTCAGTTAAACCCCAAAAGATCTCTGAGAGGTTAGGCTGACAGTTACCCAATGAGTTTCTGTGGCTGAAAATTGACTTGAAGTATAATTTTTCCAGTCCTAGTCCAATCCCTTAATCCGGTAGTTCTCAAACTTTGCAGTACTATAATCCCTAAAGTGATAAGGGATCATTTCTGTGATTCCATCTCATAAATAAAGTCATGATTTCATGGGTAGTCAGAAAAGACCATGCCATGTTCAATCATTTTAATCTTTATGTTTCGGGTTTCTTAAAATTTGTCACTTAAATGAGCCTCAGTGGCACAGTGGTTAGAGTGCAGTGCTATAGGCTACTTCTGCTGATTGTCGGCTGCCTGCAATTTGACAGTTCAAATCCCACCAGGCTCAAGGGTGACTCAGACTTCCATCCTTCCAAGGTTGGTAAAATGAGGACCCAAAATTGTTGGGGGCAATATGCTGACTCTGTAAATCACTTAGAGAGGGCTGTAAAGCACTATGAAGCCTTATATAAGTATAAGTGCTATTGCTATGATTGTAGCTTATAGAGGCCAGAGGTTTTTATAGTGCTGCTAAACTTCTTGCACAGTTTTTTTTTTTTAATTTAGACCTCCAAATTGCTTACAATCGCCTCAAGGAATCCTGAGCTATCATTTTAGAACTCTTTTCTTAATCTTATAACACTTTCCTTATCATGTTAATGCACAGTTATTATGATTTATAATATGGCTTCTTATGAACTAGAACTTCATCAACTGACAGAGGAGTTCTGTTGAAATAAAGTTTAATTCATAAATACCACATCCCAACAAAACATGTTTTCAAAGAACACTACACAATCCTTTATTGCTTGCTACACATTCATTTCACATAAATTGCTGTGGTAGAGATCAAAATTTATTAATTTATATACTATCTTTAAAATAAAATGATTAGCAATTTTAACAGAAAAACACAGAAAGTCTTTATCAGCAAAATTCAATCCAGACTACTACAAGAAAAACATGAATATCTGTGTGCCAGCTGAATTCAAATTAACCCAATTTTTACATGTTAATTAAACCAGCTATTTTCTTCTTATTGTATTTTTGCTCCTTAAATAGTGATTCCCAACAGATCTACTCCAGCAACAATGACGTACTCATTTACTTCTATTATGACCACACAATACAGTAACTGAGTAGTAATTTTTCACAGTCAATTACACATGTGGTTCCTAATGGTTAAAGATGCTGAAATAATGCATGTTACACAGCCATATGCTCTGAGCTCTATACTGCATAAGGGCAGTTGCCTAGGTAACAAGCTTTCTCTGTGGCTTAGCACAACCTTCATTGAATATCATTAGGTTTCATTAAACAGCACATATTAACATGAACCTTAATATACTACTTAAGAATAATTTTGTCGACATAAGCTACAGCTTACCTAACTTAAAAGCCTGACTGAGAAAATCCTAATGACCTGTATTTTAATGATGCAAAGCTAAAAAAGAAATGGGCAAATTATAAACCAAGCATAACATTTCCTGTAAGTCTGATGCTTTATTTCTCTTAGGAAAAGGGGGGAAAAATTTGGTCAAAAGACTCTAAAATTGCAAAGACAAATTAAATAGAAAGAAAAGCTAACTACAACAACCATTTGACACCCAGCTGGGTGAGGATACTATTTTTTTTTTTTTTTGGAAGAGATACAAACTGACTAATATAGATGAATTAATTACTGTTATCCATTCCAAAGGTTTGTTGCCCACATCAATACACTAATTTTCAGGATATAACTATCCCTACCTTTTTCACTATCACTATTGAGGAAATTCTGCTTTGTTTTAGAGTATCTTTTAGTTACATATCGGAAGTAGAAATGACATATTTTTTCCCAGAAAAGTGGGTTTTACAAATCTGGAAAATACTATTTCCCCAGTTTTAGAACAGAAATTTCAAATATGGATTTTCATCATGAGACATCTGGATCCCAGGAGAGATGGGAGGACCACTGACAAGAGTAAACATTACAGCTTTTCATGCCAAAAGTAAAAAGAGAAGATGCTACTACAAAACTATGGCATAAAGTGTAAACAGATTGTGGCTAGCTGGGTAACAGTGGAAAGGAGAAAGTATGAAAATATTGTCCAACTGCCTACCTATGGTGTAAAGATATTCCTATGATTGCACTGTTTTGAGAGCACTAACTCTCATAGGCAAAACCTTAATCAGTTTTACCAAAAGAGAACATCTTTCAGGACTACTGTGCTTGGATCTGGAATTACTGCATTCTCCTAAGAATAGGGACAGACAATCACAGGAATATGGAGGTGGAGAAAACCTAATTTGGTGAAGAAAGTAAGTTTCTTATACATCAATCTTTCAACTATCTAAATTATCATTTGAGTACGATTGGCAGTACTATTCCTAATAATACTAATACTAATAATACTATTCCTAATAATAGTAATGATCTACTCCTAGGTAACCTTGAGAATTTACATATTGTGATGACTCACAGAACATACAGAACACAAGAACCATTTCTAGACATTATATTTTCAAATCTACTGAAATTTTTGTCAATCCATGAAAGCTCTCATTTAGACTTCTTCAGGAAAAATCCAGACAATTAAACATTTTCAATCTGATTTATGTCAGTCTTCCCCATTCTGATACCTTGTGAATGAGTTGATACTCTAAATGTCAACTCATTAAAGTATGGAATGACCGGTTTATAACAATACAACAACAATGAACAGTATGGTTATTTAATCTCAGTGCATTTGGAAAGAAATTAGTTAGGAAAGACTAATATAAATGTATAAACAAGATATGAAGTGGCTACATTACAGCAAGCAAGGTGAATTTATAAATCATTACTCCTAAATTCAGCACCTGAAAAAAAAAAAGCTATCAGATGCACAAGTACACAGAAATTTGAAATAGCAGGATAGCATATCATACCATACTATGAGATATAATGGAATTTCTCAGTGCCAGTTTGTTATGTGTAAAATTGAAAACACCGGGGTGAAATCTCAAGCAGGTAGGTACATTTGTGGCAAATTATTCAAAGCCTGTCATTCTTATATCTGTCTCATCCTCAATCACATTTAAAAGTGAAAGTACATGTACATCTTCTACATGTCAACCCATCAGAAAGTCCCACTGATTACAGTGGGCTTACTTCTATATAAGTAAGTATTTCAATGCTGTCTTAATTACTCAACTGCTGTTAACATATATAATGTACAACAGCAGCAACAAAAACAAGGCATTGATGTTTGAAAATTATTCTGTTACTTTCCTATGTATATGTATACACATACCCATTCTGCATGTCTTGCAAATCTACTAATTATTCTCATCATTACATTAAAAAAAATCAAAAGCTAGAATGATTCAAGCTACAATCATTGTGTAATCTTAATAGCATAATGGGACACAGGCTAAGCTATGCTTATTATTTAATATTTCAATACTATATAAACAACTTCTAAAAAATGGTGAATTAGAGATAAATCAATAATAATGGGAAAAGCTGGCATTTCAAAACATTATTTTGAATTGTGTACACTTCCTAAAAATAAAGCCACAAAGCATTTTGAGTTACTTGCTGGAATCTCAGCAATGATTGGCATAAATTGTATATTTTATTGGGCAGAATTTAATTATAGTAAATAAAATTCTTAGAAGAAAACAGTTGGATTTCTAAGAATACAATTGTAAGGAAACATTTCTTTACAGCTTATCAATGGGAGGTAAAAACAACTTTTCAAAGTCTCCTAACTCCTACCCTGGAAACAAACTTACCAAACCTTCAGTTAGCACAGAAACATTCAACCAAATATATTCTTACCCTTTACAAAGCTGAATTACCCATGAAATATTAAAAAATTAGATGATTCTGCGCACATGAAATTGTGTTAGCACTTTTCTATACTTTTGTCATATTTTTTCCTCTCATTTACTAATTAGGAATATAAAAGGCTGAACAGTTATTTTCATTTTTCCTCTTAGGAGGCATATTTGACAATTTATTAAGCACAATATTGGCAAAGTTTAAATTCTGATTTCAGTTAAACTATCTTGTTAGTCAGGTTTTTATTAAGGTTACAACCCAAAATCACTGCACTGTAAATGCTATACAACATACTGCATTTCTTTACGCTATAATATATTTGCCACAGTGATTTATGTACAAAGTTATAACAGTTGGTAGCCTTTACCCTTGACAGATGTCAAAAAAAGCTAAGCAGGGTGAAACATGATTTGTATGGAAGACCAGCAGAACACTAAGGCAGTAGGTTAGACAGAAAAGCTAACAAGATCACATCGGCAAATCGTTTCTATCTAGTTTCCTCAAAAACAATTTGGCTACATTTATGCAGGCACTAGAAATTAAACGCAACCTGAGGATTGCTTAGATCTGCAAATCATTTTAAGGTATGTTCTCTTTTTTGTGCATATTATTCAGTGAAAAATCAATGTTTCTTAAAGGCTGATGATGGCACATTATTATTTTTTTCATATATTGTACCTGTAAATGAAAAGCAAAATGTCTTTTATTTATTCGCTTAACATTCAAATAGTAGTATCAAATAAGCAATTTAGATAAATAATGACATACATACCCATCTTTGGTCTGATCTACTACACCTCCCAACAGTTGGACTGTATGGGGATTGGGCACCCCATCTCCTATTATCTTCAAGAATCGTGTGACAAAATCATTGGGAGACATGTAAAATTCACCATTTTTTTCAACACTTGCATACTGTTAAAATAAAAGAGGGAGAATTTTTATTCTTAAATTATTAAGTAAGAATATATCTTACCTGATTATATGAGATGTAATAATTACAGGCAGATCACCATATATGAAACCAAAAAAGAAATCAGACAGATCACACACACACACACACACACACACATTTAAAAACGCATTTTTTTTCTTATTTAGTGCTAATTATAATTAGTAATGACAACCAAATTGACAATGTGTGGTAGACACATGCTTTTCAAATTGGAATAAAAATTTGTAATTTGAAAAATCTTTGATTTGAAATAAAATCAGAATAAGAAAACATTTTCTCTTATTACTACAACGTGTTATATTATACTATAACTTCGTATAGTAGTTCAACATGAAGTTAATTCAAAAATCAAGTCAAAACCAAAAATCAAGGTAAATTGATTTAATTAATTCCTAGTATAATACTGCATCAATCATATCTGAAAGGCAAATATCTATCATATTCTTCTGACTAGAACTAAGAAAGTTTTTCTTTCCAGAAAAGAAGCTGGAAAAGAATCATTGGTTAATTAATTGTTTCTGACCATTCAAACCACTCTCCTTTCCTCCAAATAGATAAGTATCATCTGCCAGAAATCTCAACCATTCAATGCTGGATAGGATTTAAAAGAAAAGTTGGATGAAGCCTGGGCCAAATCTTGCTTTAGAAGGCTGTCTGAAGTGAATATATTTTCTGAATCTTTCATGCTGAAAAATCTTTTACTTAATAACATATGCCAGCAGAACAATTTGTGAAATAGTGAAATATTTTAACTCTCTCTCATACACACTTAAGAAAACATGTTTGTGCCCATTCAAATGCATGTGTACTTAACAGCCATATGTAAAACATTAGTGCTGCATGACTGTGACAACATTTTTCAGATTCTCTCTTCTTTTCCCTCCAAATGTCCACCTCTTGGGAGTATAAATAGAAAAGAAAGAAAAGTGAAAGCTGAATTTTGAAGACTAAAATTACTCCTGAAAGGAAGAAAGCAAAGTGAACAACAGTAATAAAAATGCCCTCAATATGTTATTCTGGCCTAAACCCAAGAAATCATATATATTATACAAGAAGGGTGGAAGGGAGCACATAATATATTTGGCATTCATTCTCCTACTTGATTTACAGATTGTGATTTCAAAAAAAGGAAAAATCCAAAGAGAAGGAAATAAAAACTCATATATACTTCTATGTTTTTAAGACAGCATGATTGTAGGTACAGATATGCTTTTATGCTTTGTATTAAGGGCATAATTGAAATAAGACAAAGGACCAATCAATCAAAGATTAAGGGGTTCTAAAATATACTGGACTGTCAAATAAACATTTCAATACTTCATGATATACCAATAGTTCCTTCTCAAAGTGTTGAATATCTACTATAATTTATCAAATGGTAGGTTAGTTAATAAACTGACCTGTTTCTTTACTCCCTGACATTGTTAACTGAAAACTTGTTTATGACTTTTAGACTTAGTTCTTCTGCCAACCTAGCAATTCGAAAGCATGTAAAAATGCAAGTAGAAAAATAGGGACCACTTTGGTGGGAAGGTAACAGCGTTCTGTGCACCTTCAGCGTTTAGTCATGCCAGCCACATGACCACGGACACGTCTTCAGACAGCACTGGCTCTTCGGCTTTGTAACAGAGATGAGCACCACCCACTAGAGCCAGAAACAACTAGCATGTGTCTGCGAGGGGAACCTTTACCTTTACCTTTTAGACTTTAGGTTATCAATTTTTGCTTATCTGAAATTATATTGTATTTCTTTTAGAAGTGAAAAATAAACTTCAATTCTAATGTTCTAATGTTCTGGCTCTGGATGCTCTGAAATCATTGGAAAGATCTTTAAAACAGATTGGCTAGGAACCATAGGAAAGGTTGCTATTTCAATCCCAGGACTCCAGTTTCACTATCATGTCCCAGTTCTCACCACATAACAAATCAAATTTCTGTGAAGCAAAAAGGAAACAAAGGATTCAATTAAAAAAAAGTCAACTGGGCCTGGGTACTTTTTTAGTAATGTTCTGGATCATGTTTATTAGTTATTAGAACAGGTTATCCATTCCTTATCATTACTATGTACTTTTCCAAGTTGCAATTCAGCAAACAGTCTAATCAGAAAGAGGCTGATAAGATAAGGAAATCCATGAAAATGCTAAATTTACACATGCATATTGCAATATTATGAACCTCTTGGATATGGTGAAAAGATATTAAAATGCAATTGTAAATAGACTACATAAAAATATTTGTCACTACATCTCAACTTGAAAATATCACAGCAAGCAAAACATTCTGAATAGAAAAGACATACTCCTAATTCAGTTTATGGGTTGGTTGGTTTTTTGACATGGCCTGATAATATTTACCAGAATTTTGCACAAAGCATTATCCATATCAAGTAACAAACTAGGTATCTACTATAATTCCAAGCAAAATTCAAAGAATCAGATATTGTTTTGTATTGCAAGTGCCATTGCCTATTACATCAAGCCAGAATTGTGTCTAACCATCTTTACTCATACATGCAACTGGGCTTCTCTCAGATTTAAAAATGTAATTTTGGGCAGAAGAGACATAACTGTCTAGATGTACTGTAAGTCATATACAGGCAATTTTTTTCAGGCAATTGTTGGAGAAAGGTAAAAACAAAACAGAAAAATACAAAACCTGAACATCTAACAACAGTGCATTTTTATAATTAAGACAAATTCTCTTTTGTTACTACGTTTTAAAAGTAATATTTTAGAAAAAAGTTATTAGAGTTCCATATTTATAATTTACTGTTAGCTATTTATCTATCTAATGAAGTTGTAAGAAAATACATATTGTAAAAATAGCACACACAATTAAAACTAACTTAGAACATGACAGCAATATAAAACCACACGCTTGTTTATTAGGTGATACCTTGTCTACCGAAAATGAACACTCAGTACTTTATAACCAGCACACAGATCAATCGATTCCAATGTACGTAGTCATTTATAGGAGAATCTTTCTAAACCTAAGGCTTGAAAACTTTTTAACAAGACAGTTAAGAAACAAATCAAATAAGTCAGCCATTCTGCACTTCTACATTTCATTTTTTTCCCAAGCTAGGCCCCCTGCTAAGACATTCAATAACAGAAAGCAGCACAAGGTTTCGGTGTCCCTCTGCTTCTACCCACTGTGATTTATTCTTGTGTATTTGAAATCCAATCACGTACCCCCACACTACATATAGAAAATGACCTTGAAAATGTCAGCTTGTTCATTTTGACTGAAGTCTAATCTCTTAGGTTATGGTAGGAGAGTTACAAGAAGTAGAGTTACTCTGCAAAATTATCATGACAAAAGAGGGAAGGTGGGAAAAACATCAGTTCTGTTAGTTTGGGAATAAAGACATTCAAAAAAGTGGTTCTGTAGTCAGGTATTTTTCTTCCACTTTGGTAATTATACCTACAGAGAATATGATATTGCATAATAAAGCCTAATGGTTTTTTTGGTAAGTTCCTTCAAAATTCACACTGGATAATCACATATTTTAAATACTCAGGCATTAACAAGTTGAAACCTATTTAAGCCTTTGCAGTACAACTGTGGAATACCTTTATTATTATTTTTTAATGTACAAGCTAAAGAATTCCAGATTAAAAAATATGCAACTAAGAAATTTCAAATTGATTGCTATGTGTTTAACTAACACATGAAATAATGTTTCAATTACAATATTTGTTATTTTGATTTCTTTCTTTCTCTCTCTTTCTCTTTCTTTTTTCCCCTTCTTTCCTTCCTTCCTTCTTTCCTATTTTTATAACGTCTAATATATTTTATTTATGAATTAAAGTTCAATATTAACTGTCAACATTCATTGTTCTGAAATATCCCAATAAAATTACTGGGAGAATATTCTAGAAATAAAATTATTTTTCTTAGTTATTTACAAATAGTGGTTTCCTTTTTTTAAAAAAGTCATGAATAAACTATATGTTATCATGTACAACTTTTCATTTCCCGACTTGATTATCTTTTATCTTGATTATCTTGATTATCATTCTATTAGTAGAATGAATAACTAAAAAAACCCATTCATTATTTATATACTATTTATATACTATGTCACCTTAAAATCAGCAAAAAATCATGCCTTTCAAATCTTTTTAGTGGTATTTAGAAGCATCAAGTCAACATTACTGCTTCAGATGGCCAGTTACAAATTATTACTAGCTATTTTTATTAGTTACAATAATGGAATTCATGGAAAGGCCTCTCGGGATAATATACACATGTTTTATAAACTCCTCTAAAAACCAGTGGACAAGCCTATAAAATGGAGTAAATGCAGATTGAGATTGAGTTTTGTTTCCCCAAGCTTATATATACTGATAGCCATTATGTGTTTTCAGAGTAAGGCCAAATCATCTGAATGAGCCTAACACTGGCAATGAAAATGTGAAAAGTTTCCACTTCTTGCCAATTGTAGTTTATTAGGTTGACATTTAGTTTTCTATAGCAATAGAAAATTCTCTATTAAAATAGAAAAGCCGGTTTCATAAAATCATTTTGATTCCACTAATCACAGTTAAGATTGTTCATATATTCAAGGACAAAACAAACTGCAGTTAAAATGAACAAACCAGAAACATATGAAGTTGGCCACAGGGCTGGAGAAATAGCGGCAGAGTCTTCTGAAGTTTGGGAAGCTACTGCCAGGTAGGAAGAACTATTTGCTGTTTTTCACAATATTCACAATATCTGTCCTGTGTTTTTATATTTTCAAGCTTCAATCACATTAATAGCTATTGGTCATCTGGGAAAAAAATCTGCTTGTAACCCTGAAAGTTTCTTGTTAGTGTTGACAGCACAGGGCTAAATTGAGCAATGATCTCATTTGAGATAATATATGTTTAATATACATCAAAACCACCCCATTGCTAAATACATGGAACACAAATCTGATACAGCTCGTGCAGCTTTCTTGGCAAGGGTTTTTGGAACTGAAAGAGCTGAGAGAGTATAACTGGCCCAGCTTGCTTCATGCTAAGATAGGACTAAAATCTATGGTGTCCTGGTTTCTAGAATATGTCTGATCACTACACCAGACTGGCTTTCTTATTTCTTTACTATATTTTTAATTGCTCCCTTCAATTTCAAGGTAATGAAATCTTAAAAACATAAAGAATAATTACACAAAACCTTTAAAATGTATAACATATTAATCAGACAGCCCTTTAATTAAAAAACAGCATAAATACCAGAAATATAATTTATCAATATAAGTTTCACTTAATAGTCAATATAATTTGCACTTAATAAAAAAATTAAAGAGCTAGTTGCTCAGATATATTTTTCCCAGGCCTTTTACGGGCAGAACCAGGACCTTAAATTGACTCTTAAATCAAATAGGAAATCCATAAAGTTGTCTAAAGTTGATATTTGTCTTAGGTAGGCATTTTTCTGAACATTTTTCAAGGGATGTATCGCATATATGTTATTATAGTAATCTTGAGATGAGATAATAAACCATAGACCTCTGTGGTCAGGTATGCCTTTCACAACATATATACACAAATCAATGTTCAAACGGTCACTCTTCCAATAAACTCATAAAACACTTCTAATTAATGCTGGAAATTAATGTTTAAATTATCAAACAATTAGCATCAATCTTTATCAAGATTAATTTATTCATATTTTTATCGCTGCATTTATTTCTTTACCAAAGAAAATGCAACAGTAACAAGAAAGACAACAGCGTGCAAATTATTTAGATTTTAATTATTTTATGTTATAAGAATTATTTTACAAGAAAACTGAGAAAACCATAAGAAATAAACATGACAAGTTTTAAAGATTTAACTGCTCATGAAATATATGTTGCATGATAAAAAGGGTAAAGTGGATAGAAAGTTTTCCCCATCACTTTGGGTCATGCCATTTTCTTTCCAAATAGGAACATTCCTTCACAATTTTATCAATTATTTTCAGAAATCATTTCAATTGCCTAACCTGAGGATAGCAATGTAAAACAAAGTACAATTTGCAGCATACACATTTTTGAATTCTGACTATTGAATAAAGATTAGCATTTACGTATAGTAACACTGGAACTAATATTAAATACCATATTTGTGAATCAGATTTACGCTATTTTTTATTTTTTTCTGAATGAATAGGATTAACGTGTTAGCTTTTAGCTTTAGCCATTGCCACATATAATCCAAAGGTTTAGGCAAGATAGGTAATTAAATTAAAATATAATTATTAAATTATATTTGTAGCTATTTTTATTATACATAATTAAAATAGCTACAAATATATTTCTATTGATTTTGTAAAGGAATCCTCCATGTCCTGAATAAGAAATACTGAATTATCAATTCCATTTGCAGAAGTTGGTTAGTGGAGTAGGGTGGAAGGGATATTTTAATTTCAAAATTTTAATTTCAAAAAAATTTCTCTATATTTGTACAATAATCATTCAATAATGTATTTTATTTCTTGGAGAGCTGTTCCTTTTTTATAATGCTATTTAAGTATAGCATGGGAATAATACAATGAATGATTAATGGTTAGAACACTCCAAAAGTTGAATAATAAACTAAGGAAAAAAGAAATGAAAAACTCAAGCTTTAAAGGATAAAAATATTTACTTTTAACGTACCTTCAAAAATATTGTTTTCAGCTCAGCTGGATCAGCTCTCTTGGTTAGAGCCACCTACAAGTAAATACAATTGTATTAATATGCATGGTCTATGCAAAGGATGTCAAAGTGTCATAAAAACAAAAGACATTCAAACAAAAGAATACACAATGAAATATAAATGTTCTCAAATAAGTTAAGCAGTAGTTTATGTAAAAAATAAATGAGTGCTTAACGATTATTCAGTGACTTTGCTGGAAATATTCCACAAAACAATGTAACAAATCTTAAGTGTGTAGAAAAATAGGAAGATTTTGCCCATAAAGCAAACTCAATCATATTGCTGGATTTCATTTTTATAACCTGATTACTACAGTAAATCCAAGTTATATGAAATGGATACAGCAACATAACTGACAAGAGCCTTAAAATATGAATTATTTATGCTGCAACTATATTTGCTTCATGATGCTGAAAGCTAGGTGGCAAAAAGCTAAGGTGAGTCAGACTTTAGCACTTGGATAAAGATCATCACAAAACTCCAACCTTATAAATTGGAATGGGGAACAAAATAAATAAATATATAATCTAAAATATGTGATGAAAAAACATTTTCCTTTTGCTGCTTTAAAATGGCCATATCCATTTTACTTCATCATATTTGGTTATCTTTTATCTGTATTTTAAGTTTTTATTTTATTTGTTGTAATTTATCTGTATTTTAAGTTTTTACTGATTTGTTGTAATTTCTTTGATTGTTGAGAATTGCCTGTTATATTATTATTGTTGTTAATTTTCAATTCAAGTCTAGGACTGGTATAAACTTAACAGTTCAAGTCCTAACCAGGGACCTAAAGGTAGCATCTGAGTATATAGGCAGTTCCGAGTAGGGTGTTTTTTGGAAAATTCAGGATATTGAGGTCTAATAAATTCAGAATTTACATGTATCTAGGCAACCCTTTGGGTATTGCTATTATTATTATTATTATATTATACACAAAAATGACAGTATACACAGCAAACAAGATAACTATGCTGGGTTTCGTATCACAAATCACTAGTCAAACAGTTCCCAAGTGTTTAGGACTGCATGATGTATCGGCAGATTATATGAGCAGCTCCCAGTAAGGTGGCCTTCTGCAGCTGACCAATGGTGATATTATTGTTGTTGTTGTTGTTGTTGTTATATTCCAAAATGTAGTCAGGAATCAAGCTTCACACTAGCACACTTTTAATATTTAGTTTATAAGAAATCTTCCATTAAAGAGCGAAATCAAAATGAAAGCGAACCAAACAAGTTCCCAGAATAACCATCAAAACTAAGCTGACAACAATCAATTTGTTCAAAGCTAGAATGAAATGAATTTGATTATATATTCAGGCTAATTTATCATAATGAAAACTGAGAAACTGATTTTGGCCAGTAGATGGGAGACCAACAGTGATATACTTTGACATTTCATAAAAAAAAAAATGCTGTTATGCAATTGATGTAAGATTTTAGCAAATTGCATTTCAGTATCACATGACTCCTGTTTGTTATGTTCTAACTCCTAATTATTGTTTTAAAATCTGAATAACAAAATCTAGTATTATTGCAGTTCCAACACTCATCATGTCTGATCTACAGCACATAAGACACAAACAGTCATAAAGATAGATAGCTCATATAGATCTATATCTGATAGATATGAATCAGATATGATAGGTATAAATAGGGAATTGTCAGCAAATCTCAATAAAAATTCTTAACTATTGAAGCAGAGTATGACCACTCTTCCAACTGTAGAAAGATAACACTGATTTAATTCATAATCTATTACTTTCTATTATAGTGAATATGTACAATGTATATTTAATATAACATTAGTTTGAATGAATATTGCCAATAAATAAATAAAAGATTGAGTCAAGTCTTTAATTTCTTTTTTTTTAACTTTATTGAGACTTTTACATTTTCACCTATTCTTTTACTTTATATGTTTACATGAAATGATAAGCATTATGTTGACTCCACAATCAGTTTTATAAGCTTTGTCTCTACAAGGTACATCAAGTTTAAGTCCACATTTTTACATAAATAAAAAGATCATTATTTGTTTATTCAAATAAACAAATAATGAACTCAGCGTGGTATGCAAAACTAGAAAATTCATAAAACGCATAAAACACCAAATAAAGCAGATAGCCTAAACTGATATTATAAACAACAGAAATCAAACAAAACAGGGCGACCCAAAGTATGATGATGCATTAATACAACAAATCTCAGGACCAAAACCAAGTTTAGGAGTTTTTCCACTATATTGGCAGAGAAGGCATAGTGCTTAGTTATTGCAAAGATGTTTTTCATTGTTAAAAATAAAATGTTCTAGGATATCCAGAAAATTTGGATCTTTTTATATGAAATTGAAACTTTTTATATGAAATTGTTTAGTTTATCCCATAACCTCAACTAGCATGATCAATAGCAAGAGATTATGGGAACTGTAAAATAAACTGTAAAACACAATGAGCCCAAAACTTGTCTGTTCCTGCTATTAGGTTTTCCTCTATGAATCTCTCTTCCAATGACCTCAATCATGACAAAATACATAAAAGTGGCAAACAGATAATCTAAATTCATTGACAATTAGCTGGCTAATAGCAATGTTCAATAGAACAAGTCATGCCAACATTTGTAATGAGGTGACTAATTGAGGGGAAACTACATTTTAATTAATCTTCAGAATAAGTTTATCGTTCAGATTTAAAATAACCATAAAATAAAATAGGTTTTTATTACAAAAGTACTTTCTAAAATTTCCTTCATTTTTTACATTAAATTATTAGTCACTCAGAATAAAATTTATTTTTTATTTCACCATTTGCTGGTTCTGCTAGTCATCCAGTTCTTTAAAAGAAGACGTAATATAAAGATTTAGGGTTCCGTGTGAAAAACTAGACAATTATTTGGAAAAACTAAATTATTCATTTATGTTCTAAATTAAACCAGGTGTTATTTATATATAGTACTTCAGATTTACAGTTATATTCTTTGTCAAAAGTATTGGAAACTTTTAAATTCTCCCATGAATGCATGAATATAATGCCAGTACATCTTAATGGGTTAAGATTACAAAATGCTTTCAAGAGGTAATTACTTGAATCTAATTATTTTTAGAGTTATGTGGCACATGGCATTAGCTACACAGCACTTTATATTCAAAAAGGTAAGAAGGTGCTTTTGAATGAAAGAATACACAGCACTCATCTGATACTTCTTGAACCAAACACATATTTTCCTAAGTGTATAGTAGCATTTCTATTCCACCTACACCAAAGCATCTTTCTTCCTTCAAATTATTAATCCTGATTCAAAAATGACAGTTTTAAAAGAGTAACATTTCACTATCATTAACAAATATTATCAAAAGATAATATTTTGCCACTTCAAATTCTCTTTTACTAAAATAAACATATATGTTGTCCTTCTGTAAATATGGTCTTCTATTGAAATAATAATAGTCAAGTCAGTTTAAAGGATAGATTTTGTAACTTTACATATGCATGCATTATATGGAAAATACATCACCTCAGAAGAAACACAAGCAATGGCCCTTGTAAACAATCTTCTAAATCTTATATTATTCATTCACTTTAGCCTTTGCCTCTAATAAGAACTATGTGCCACACAATAAGAAACATATTGGCATTAAGAACAAAGCACATAGTTTTGATCACCTAACTGAATGCTAGCTATTTGGGGATCAATGATATTTGGCAGTTTATCCCTTCTAAAATTCACTAAAATGACTCAAGCAATTGTGGGATAGGTTGCTTGAAAATGTGTATTATCTAAGTGTACATGCTGTCCTAAGTGTCATAATCTTGTGCTAAGACAGTTATTTGCTCAAGAGCCCATTCAAAAGGCATTGTGCTCTCTGTGGCAGAAGAGATCTAAATTCAATGAATTCTGCAACAACTCTACAAAATAACCCTCACCACCACCACTATAAAAGATTTGTTACCTATCCTCTATCCCCACTTCATTATCTATAAAAGGATGATCCTATACAGCTGCAAATCCAATATTCTGTTAAACATTCACAGTCTAGCACAAATGTAATATCCCCACTATGTATACATTCTAATGTAATACCTGAAGGATGTTGCAATATAAGAGAACTAATCATTGGATAGTTTCTGAAAAATAACTTAATAGCCTGGTTGAAAATCGTGTGTGTGTTGTTTTGTGAAAGACAGACAGACAGACAGACAGACAGACAGACAGACAGACAGAGAATTTTAAATTAAATATATTTCCAAGAAAGTGAAAATGGTATTACTATGCTGCATTGAACTATAATATAGCTCTATAATATAACATTCTTTTCCATTTCAATCAGAAAACATCTTCATGTGTAATACTGCTACAGTACATTTGTTTTTTCAAAGATAAAAACTGTAATGAACAACCTGTGGAATTAGGCCACAGAAGATACCCACATATAGATAAGGTCAAATAAGGCAGAACCTTGGACAGCTCCCCGTGAAAGTTCTGTAATAGAAGTTGTTTTGTTGATAGAGATGCAAACATCTCCCTACCTACATCATTTCTCAGGCAACTCTTTCCAGATCACAGAAGCTTCTACCACAATTCTCACAATCCAACCTGTGCAATTTTGGTTCCTGCCAAAGTTCTGATTCAGGAATTTTGATGCTAATAAAAGAGACTTTTCCACTCATCGACAGACGGAATAGGAGAGAGGAGGAGGAGGTGCTTTCTAAGCTTGGTTGTTTTCTTGCAGACATTTCATTACCAGAACTGGTGGTATTATCTAGTTCAAATAATGAAACATCTGCAGGAAAACAACCAAGCTCAGAGAGCACCAAGGACTCCTCATTTCAATCTTGTGCTATAAATATTCTCCTGAAGCTATCAAGAGAATTAGTTGCATTTGTTGACTTACATAATTTGGAAGAAAGACCACAAGTCTATTTAAACCCTGAACCTCGATAAAAGGGTTTCATTTTATGCATTGCAGTAGGAAAAATCCCTTGATTTTTGTATATGGCTATGTTCTTGTCTGTAC